AGGCTCATCATGTCCTTTCCTGCCCACTTCCTCTGAAACACTAGCTCATCTCGCCTTCTATTTCCTTCACAGCCAATTCGAGAACAAATTTTGTGTGGAAAAAAAAAACAATTATTTCATTGGCCTGCCAGCGACTTGTTCATGTTTTAATATTCCACAAGGATGTTATATATATACTTTTAGTACATAATAACTGTACAGGCACTCATTACCATTTGTACTGATCTTATTGGTTAACCTGTGTGTTATCCATTTCCCACACAAGAAAGCAAACAGCTCTTGTCTATATCGATCACCACGTTACCCCAGCACCAAAAACAATGCCTACTGTATTGGCAGTCATTCAGTAAACATCTGGATACATACATACTGCTCCGAGAAATCTACTACCTTTTTTTTTTTGGACAAACACATCCTATACCTGGCCAGCGCCACAGCTCAACAGGCTAATCTTCCACCTTGCGGCGCTGGCACACTGGGTTCTAGTCCTGGCCGGGGCGCCGGATTCTGTCCCGGTTGCCCCTCTTCCAGGCCAGCTCTCTGCTGTGGCCCGGGAGTGCAGTGGAGGATGGCCCAGGTGCTTGGGCCCTGCACCCCATGGGAGACCAGGAGAAGCACCTGGCTCCTGGCTTTGGATCAGCGCGGTGCGCCGGCCGCAACACACTGGCCGCGACGGCCATTGGAAAGTGAACCAACGGCAAAGGAAGACCTTTCTCTGTCTCTCTCTCTCTCTCCCTGTCCACTCTGCCTGTCAAAAAAAAAAAAAAAAAGAAAGAAAAAAGAAAAAAGACACAACACATCCTATACCTAAGAAGGGACAAACACCCTTTTGAATAACTTCACTATTCAAAACAGAAAATGCTACATATAGGGGCGGCATTGTGACACAGTGGGTTAAGCTGCCACCTGTGACACCAGCATCCCATATGAATGCCAGTCCCGCTGCTCCACTTCCTATCCAAACTCACTGCCAATGCGCCTGGGAAGGCAGCGGAAGATGGCCCCAGTGCTTAGGCCCCTGCCACCCATGTGGGAGACCAGGCAGAGTTCCTGGCTCCCAGCATTGGCCAGCCATGGCTGTTGGCGGCCATCTGGGGAGTGAAACAGTGGATGGAAGATCTCTCTCCCACTCTCCCCCTCTCTCTATAACTCTGCCTTTCAAACAGATATGTAGATCTGTAAATTCACAGGGAAGACAAGTGTGTGAACAGGAAAGCCGTGGTCTACACTTTCTCCAGCTACATGAAGGTGCCTGCCAAGCCCCTCCCCTTACCATTTCGGCATATTCCACCTGTTCCTCCCCAGTGTACAGCTCCGGGGGCAGGTTGTAAATCCGCAGGATGTTATCAGCACTGTTGGTCAAGATGCAGGAACCGTCAGGAGCCCTAAAAATAGGAAAGGGTTAGAATCCTGGCCAGAGCCAAGCGGCCCAAGCCGAGCGCTAGGGCTAAGCTGACCTCTGGGGGTGCAAGACACAAAGGCCTAGGTCCTAAAAAGGGCGCCTCACCCCTCTCCCACGCTGCTTTAAGGTGCAAACCTCTGGCCCCGCTACCCTTACTCACCACTTACAGCCTTTCAGAAAGTTCTCGGGTTGGGCGCAGAACTCCGACCAGGAGCCGCTGAGAAATCGGGGCAGCTGGGAGAAGCTGTAGTTCCAAAGGCTGGAATGAAGACGGAGGAACAACAAACCTGGGGCGCTGAGCCACGGGCAGACGGGCCTGGGGGCCGGCGGTCAAGGTCCTGCTCACACCTGCACTCGCCTCGGAGGCCACGGCCAGCCGCCGCCACCACTTACGTGTCTCCCTCCTCCGACAGGCCTTCCGCGGCCGCCCCGTCCGCGGCTTCTGCAGCGAGGCTCGCCTCTTCGCCAAGTTCTTGCTCCTGCACCGGCGGACCCAGCTCGGTATCGAACTCGGCTTGCAGAGCGGACAGAGAATCTGGGTCTCCTGCGCCCAGCTCCTGGGGGAACCCTGAGCCAGGCACCGCACCCGGGGACGCCCGGGGCCGATCGCTGCCTTCGGGCGCCGGCGGCATCGGTTCGGGATCCGGAGTTTTATCCACCGAGGAAGCCCGCGGAGACTGACCGGCTGCAGCGGGGGCCTGGTCCCCCGGAGCTGAGGGCTGAGCCTCCGACGCCTTCATACTGCAGAAGCAGTGCGGCAGGCATTGGCCTCGGCCGGGCGGCCAGGACGGCTCCGAAGCTCCCGGGAACCGCGACGCAGACCTGGAGGAGCCCACCCGCGCCTTCCTGCCTCCTCCGGGAGCGGGAGGCGAGAACAGCACTGAGAGCCGGCGTCTCTCAGCACCGTGGTAGCTACACGCCACTGGCTCTCGCGGGACTTGGGCCCACCTTCGTCCCGATTGGACCTCCGCACCCCGGAGCGGATTTCGCGGGCGAACCACGTCGGGGCGAGGCGGGGGCCTTACAGGTTTAAGACTCACAATTCCCATAAAGCCCTACGGCTCCTCGTGGCTGCTGGGAGTTGTAGTCTGAACGCGTCCGCCTCGGCGAGAAGTACCAGAGCGCCCCCTACCGTCTCCCACGACAATTCTCAAAGCGCCTACCCGCCACAGCCTGCAGAGGGCGCCTGACCTTGCAGCTTTTACACCTCTTCTGCATCCCATTCGCCAATTCCTCAGCCCTCTGTCTCTCTCCATTCATTCAGTAAATATGTATTATCAAGCTCTTGCTACCCAGCACTGCACGAGGCACTGGGGAACACAACGATGACAATAGACAGGTTCTCTGTCCTCAGAAGGTTGCATTGCTGTGTGGGAAAGGGTGACTAGATCTGCAGATAGTGAGAACGGTTGTGAGGGAAACTAAACAAGATGGTGTGATATGAAGTACTTGGGGGACGCGTTAGACTGGGACGTTAAGGAAAGCCCTTCTAGAAGGTTACGGTTGAGCTGATGAGAAGAAACTAGCTATCAGGGCAGTGTTGCGGACAAGAGGGAAGCGGCGAAGAAAGAGCTTTCTTCCTTCCACCCTTTATATTCAAAATGGTTTCCGCCAATTCTGCCCTCACAGCCCTGGCCTGCAGAACTTCGCCGCGACAAAATGTTAGCCGCTACAGCACCGAGACTGCAAGAACCCGGACTCTCTCCACACACACACCCTCCATTTCCTTCGCCTCACGCCGGCAGGCGAATGACTTGCCCTTACTTGTCATGGCGACCGTCCAGGAGCCTCGCGGGGGCTGATGGGATTGGGGTTTTCCCCTCCCATGTGCTCGGACTGGCGCTAAAAGTTTTGAGCGCCTCAAAAGTCCGGGGCCACCGTCCGGGAAGCAGGTAGCCGCTGGGCTGCGGGGGCACCTGGCGTCCGTGGCCGGAGCGTGCCGCCCGGGGCCGTGACACGCTCTCCTGAGGACTGGGTAAGGCCTTGACTGGGACTGATGCGTCCCCTCTAAGGGATTTGGCTCTGGGCACCTTGCATTTTCATCTAGGGGCGCAGCTGGGGGTGGGGCAGTGGGGGTGGACGGGGGCTCGGTGGGAGCGAGAGGCCGGCTGGCGGGAGGAACAGAGGAGTGCCGCGTCGGGAGGCCTGGGTGCGAACGCTGGGCAGGGGAGTGGGGCTTTCGGGGGGACCTGAGCCAGCCCCAGCTTTACTTCGCCCCCGAAATAACATGCACTAAGCCTTGGGGGCTGAGGTTTCCACATCGCGAGACTCGGACCTCTAGGCCCGAGATGGTAAGGTCCAGGGCAGCGGAGGGAAACCTCGGGCTCCGTTCCGAAGAGAGCGCTCGGGTCTCGGGACTTCCGGACCTTTGTCTCCCCGAAGTGGTCATCGCAGCCGGCCGCCGGCTCCGCCGGATGGAGAAACTCCGATCAAAGCCGGGCGGCCGTGGGACGCGCCGAGCAGAGGTTTTGCTCACGGCAGCCGGGGAGACCGTCCCGGCCTGAGAGGCTCGGCAGCCCTGTTATTGTTTGGCTCCACATTTACATTTCTGCCACTTGCAGGAGCATTTCCGGTTTCTTTTTTGCGGAGCGGCTCACGGTTCCCCCTATGCGGGGGGTGGGGGGAGAGAGAAACTAGTGTCTTTCAGGCTGATTCCTGTTCCTTGCGGGAGAGGTGTCTATCATTTCCCACCTTTTCTGCCCTCTGGATGACTTGGCTCCTGCTTTTGCTAAGGAGGGAGGATTTGTTTTGATGCACACCTCCGTCCCTCCCCCCGCCTCTGAATGGTGCGCTCCACCCTGCCCCCCTCGCAGCCTAGGTGGACGCTACCATTCTGTGGGACGGGGTGGGGAGGCGAACACGTTACAGATGGCAAAACCTAGTATTTTCGGAAATGGGTCCGCTGGGGAATCGAATTCTGGAAGTGTGCAATGACAGGCCATTCGTCTGTGTAGGGGAAACAGCTTCTCTAGTATCCGGTTTTGGGCTAAGCCATACCAATTCCAAACGCAGTCCGGACGTCGTAAAAGCGGAAGGGGCGGGCCGGCGGGGTCCTGCCCGCGGGCGGCGGCGGAGCCGGCGGGGTCCGTGTGTCCTGCTGCTGCACCGCGCGGGGCGTGGCGGTGCCCCGGTGTGTCCCAGGCCCTGGGCGCCGTGGCCCGATGTGCCTGTCTCTTTTCTAAACTGTCCTTTGCGGAAGCTTAAGTGCTTCTCTTCCCCTCGGCGCCTGGCGTAATTTCAGCCTGTGAGATGAACGGGAGATAGGCAAGGCAAGGTGGAAATGGCCTTGCGGGAGGCGGCGGATGGCGTCTCCCCGGGAACCGGCCCTGGTGGGCTCCGCGGGGCGGGCTGTCAGACCCCCGCCATCGTTTGAATGTGAAAAGATCTTTTCAGGGCACAAAAGACGGAATATCCACTTGATTTGCCTTTGCAGTGCACTGATGTGGGTAAATATAAATTTTTGTGCACGGAAAGACAGCTTTTTGAAGCTATTCTCAAAGCGGCGGTTTCTCTAACCACCTAGATACAGACCAAAGACGCAGCTTCTCCCTGGTCAGTTCCCAGCATCCGTGCTTGTTCTGTTTCGGTCCTTTTTTTTTTTTTTTTTTTTTTTTTGGCTTGTTGGAGAATTTCGTTTATTTGCAAGGGAGCTCTTCCATCTGCTGGTTCACTCTGCAAATGTCGGCAACAGCCCAGGCTGGGCCAGGGGGAAGCCAGGAAGCCAGGTACTCTGTCCTTGTCTCCCATGGGGGTGGTTGGGGCCCAGGCAGTCGGAGCATTAATCTGCAGCCTTTCCAGGCACAGTAGCAGGAAGTTGGATCCGAAGCAGAGCAGCCAGGACTCAGACCTGCAGGCCCGTGTGGGATGCGAACCCGTGGTTTCACCAACTGTGCCCAAACAGCCCTGTATGTGTGTGTGAAGTGATACCTACCCATGTTGTCACATATGTCCGTACTTGTCCTTTTTATTCAGCTTTCCTAGAACCCTGCAGATAACAAAATCCGAGTGCTGGGATACTTTTAATGGATAGTGCTTGCATATAATTTGGGTACACTCTCCATATAGTTACAGTCTCTCGGGGATACTTGCGGTTCCCAATTCATTGTGAATACCATGTAAATTGTTGCTTCACCGTGTTGCTCAGGGAATAATGACAAGATAAAGGGTTCCCAACCACCACACATCTGCCTACCTGGTATACTTGGTCAACAATGCAACATTGTTTTGTTTGTTTGTTTGTTTTTAAAATTTTATTTGTTTGACAGGTAGAGTTACAAACAGTGAAAGAGACAGAGAGAAAGGTCTTCCTTCCATTGGTTCACTCCCCAATGGCCGTTGCAGCTGGCGCACCGCGCTGATCCGAAGGCAGGAGCCAGGTACTTATCCTGGTCTCCCATGGGGTGCAGGGCCCAAGCACTTGGGCCATCCTCCACTGCACTCCCTGGCCACAGCAGAGAGCTGGCCTGGAAGAGGAGCAACCGGGACAGAATCCGGCGCCCCGACCGGGACTAGAACCCGGTGTGCTGGCGCCGCAAGGCGGAGGATTAGTCTAGTGAGCCACAGTGCTCACTTTTGCTTTTTTCAATACAGTACATGCAAAAGTATAATAAGTTTTAGCAAATTAAATCTGGCAATGTATAAAAATGATTTATGCCTTCTGACCAAGTGGGGCTTATCCCAGGATTGCAATGTTGGTTTAACATTCAAAAATTAATCCAGGTAATTTACTGCATTAACAGATTGAAGGATAAGAAATCTTATGGTCATTTCAACAACTGCAGGGAAAACAATTGCCAATATTCAATGGCTGCTCATGATTTCGAAGAAACTTCCTAGCAAATTGGAGAAAAGAAGTTTAGTCTGCTAAGAGGACATCCAGACATATTAAAGGGAAGAAGTAAAACTCTTACAGCCGGTTTGATCGTGTACATTAAAAATCCTAACTTGGGCCGGCATTGTGGCATAGCAGGTAAAGCCTGCAACACCAGCATCCCATATGGGCACCAGTTCGAGTCCCAGCCACTCCACTTCCAATCCAGCTCCCTGCTAATGGCCTGGAAAAGGCAGCAGAAGATTCTGTCTCTCGCAAGTGCTCAGGCCCCTTCCACCCACATGGGAGACCCGGATGAGGCTCCTGGCCCTGGCTCCTGGCCCTGACTCCTCTGTTGAGATTAACAAGCTGGTTCCAAAACGAAAAAGTAGTGTGAAGTTGGGAGTCTAACACTGTCTTGATTTCAAGGTAACGTTGAGGCTGTGGTAAGACGTAAGAACGAATGAACATGTTGCAGTCAGAAAAACAAATAAATGTGGCCAAATGACTTTCTTCAAAAGTGCCCAAGCAAATCTAGGGAGAAAGCGAAATCAACAAAAGGTGGTGGAACAACTTGAAGGGAAAAATGACCCCTGACCCCTGCTTCACACCCACAACACACAATAATCAGTTTGAGATGGGAGTAGACTGAAACCTTTAAAGAGAAGGAGACGTAGCAGGCTGAATGGTGATTGTTGGCAAAGCTGGGTGATGCGTACACGTAACGCTGTTTGTTGTTTCTGTTTTTTCTAATATCTGTTTATTTATTTATTTGAAAGGCGGAGTGACTGAGATCTTCTCTCCGCTGGTTCGCTCCCCAAATGGCCACAACAGTTGGGGCTGGGCCAGGTCGAAGCCCTGAACTCCATCCGGGTCTCCCACTTGTGTGGCAGAGGCCCAAGTACTTGGGCCATCATCTGCTGCCTTCCCAGCCGTCTTAGCAGGGAGCTGGATCAGACACAGAGCAGCCGGGCTTCACACCAACCCTCTGATAGGGGATGCTGCTACGGGAAGCAGCGGCTTAACTCACTGTGCCACAAGACCAGTCCCTCTGTGTTTTAACTTCACCTGGGTGGTTCACCTGCCTGGGTAACCCCCTGTTCATTTCCCTTTGTTAATAAAGCTGCGGTGCTCTGGCTTTCACTCCTAGCCCTGTGAACATGTTGCATGTCCCTGCTGTGCGGCCGTAGGTTTTAGGAACTTGTATTCTTGATCGGCACTCACACTTTTACATCCATACATTCCTAAGCAATAAATGGTTCTGTGTCTTTTTAATTTGTGTAAACTGTTTGCTTCCATGACTGTTTTGCATTTTCCTGCAAATTGTGTATACACGTCTTAACCACCTGCTCCCTGCCCACGGATTCCTGTTTCTTGTCACTTGCCAGTCAAGTAGCTCTCATCCAGAAAAGCTTTTATTTCAGACTCGGGGAAACCGTAGGAGCATAATTATTTAGCCCTTGATTGTGCTTTCAGACAGTCCAGTTAGAGCTCTAGTTCTGTCACTTGGGAGCTTTAGGAGCCTGGTAAGCGACTTTAATTCCTTTAACTCTCATTTCCCACATCTGTCATACCTGCTTTGCTGATTTTTGAGAGGATTAAATGAGATTGCGGTGGAAAGCAGTGCCTTGTCAGCCACTAGGACCTCTGAGTGCGACCATTGTCACAGTCAGGGCTGGGCCTGTCCCTCCCAGGGGCCTGCGTTGCCCTGCGCTAACCATCTCGAAGGTGCCCTTCCACCTGACACATGTGTTCCGGGGGCCCTGGCGCCGGTGTGTGCTCTGATCTGTTAGTGGTACCTGCCTGCCCAGCAGGGAAACGCTGACCGTGTTGCTGCTGAGAGGCAGGGGATGTCCCGAAGGGACACCTCTGTCGGGCTGCTCCCTCCCCGGGGGACTGTGACCTCAGAGCAGTCCCGTTCCCTGACAGAGGTCAATGTGCACTCCTAAGGTGGGGAGAGGCCACAGTGCTGCCCTAACTCCTGGTCACAGAGTTCCCCTGAGAGCAAACAGAACAGTTCCATGAGCAGCCAGCGTTTGCTGAGCACTTACCACGTGCCAGGCAGTTTTCTCGGCTGTCTGTATTTCCAGCAGTAAATAAGTAAGACCCGGGGGACACTGGGGCTGACCTCAGTAGTCCCCAAGGCAGCCCCACTGTGAGATGGTGAGGTTAGGGTGCAGGTCTACCCGCTGCCTCCACGGCCCATGGCCTGCTATGGCTGCCTGTGTTTCCCAGCCCCTAGGTGATTTACACCGAAGATGCAAAGAAGGGTAACCTTCAATTCTTAGAACTTAGGAGCCAAAATTTCATTTTTTTTTTTAAAAGATTGATTTATTTATTTGAAAGGCAGAGTTGCAGAGAGACAGAGAGAGAGATCTTCCATCCACAGGTTCACGCCCCAAGTTGCCACAATGGCTAAAGCTGGGCCAGTCCAGAGCCAGGAGCTTCTTCTGGGTCTCCCACACGGCAGCAGGGGCCCATGGACTTGGGCCATCTGCTGCTTTCCCAGGCCTAGTGAGAGCTGGGTCAGGAGTGGAGCACCAGGACTTGAACCAGCGCCCATATGGGATGCCGGCACTGCAAGTGGTGGCATTACCCACTATACCGCAGCACCGGCCCCCCAAAAAAGAGTCATCTTTTTAAGATGGGTAAAGTTAAGAACAGTGCAATGTCAGACCCAGGGTTTTGTCTTTGTTTTTTAAGGTTTGTTTGTTTATTTGAAAGGCAGAGTTACAGAGAAAGAATCTTCCATCCACTAGTTCTCTCCCCAAATTTATTTGGCTGCAGCAGCTGAGGCTGGGCCAGGCTGAAGCCAGGAGCCTAGAACTCCACCCAGGTCTCCCACGAGTGGCAGGGGCCCAAGTACCTGTGCCATCTTCTGCTGCTTTCCCAAGCTGGATTGAAGCCAGGAGCCTAGAACTCCACCCCGGTCTCCCACAAGTGGCAGGGGCCCAAGTACCTGTGCCATCTTCTGCTGCTTTCCCAAGCTGGATTGAAAGTAGAGCTGCTGGGGCCTGAACCGGCTCTCCGGTATGGGCTGCCCGTGTCACAGTGACAGCCTAACCAGCTGTGCCATAACACACGGCCCGAAGCTTTTGACTTCTGAGCCCCTTCCCATAAGTTTCTTCTTTTAATAATGGATGTTTGAATCCTCCTTTTTAATAAAAGGTCATTCACTTGCCTGTGTGCCTGAAGGCAGGCTGCTTGACCCCTCAGGGAGCTCTTCACCTGTCAAACGGCAGGTGTAGTTATCAGAACAAATCAGATAAGCCATGTGAAAGGATTTTGCAAACTCTTAAGCACATAAGCAAGCAAGCCCTCTATCTACATAAGGGTGGAAGTCAGGTGAAGGCAGATTAGAACGCCCTGCCCTTAAGGAAGCTGCTTGGTAGGGAGGCTCGGCCAGTGCAAGGTACAGGTGCTGCGTGTGTTTCTTAAAGCTAATGGCGAAGACTGCATCAAGAAAAGCTCAGAGAAGCAGTTGGGAAGCTGGTCGGGGGGAGTGAGATGACAGCGCGTGGTGTCATGCAAGACCTGGCCGGCTGACCGCCTTGCTCCCTTACCCACTCGCCACCATTCACAACCAGAGCAGAGCGATTTGCTGTTAAAACACAGGGAGCCCGCCCAGGTGCATGGCGCTGCACTAAGGGCATGGTGAACGGGGTAGAGCCCCTCCCTGCAGGGAGCAAGTTTCTATCTTAACTAGAGGCCACAGGGAACCAGCAAGCAAAAAATCAGAGTGTACTTACCGTGAGGGTTAAGACAGGTGGCTGGCCGGCTAGGGAAGGGGGGTGTGCCTGGTGGTGGAGCCACCCATCAATGTTGAATAGGGAAGCCAGGATAGAGCCCTGGGAACCAGAGGGAGTGGTTGGGAGGAGGAGATGGAGAGGGAGGGTGGGGCCGGCTCACCAAGACTCCTGGGGCAGGAGGTAGGGGACTCAGGAGCCAGGAGCCCTGAGGGCTGAGGGAGGGAGAGGTGAAACAGATTTGTGATAAGAGGTGAGCATTTGTCAGAGCGCTTAAGAAACTGCTTAGGATTCCGGCTTCCGGAGAGCGCCTGGGTTCAAGTCCTGGCTCTGCGCCCCATCCCAGCCTCCTGCAAATCCACAGCCTGGGAGACAGCAGGTAGGGATGGTGCAAGTACTAGACTCCTGGCTCCTGGCTCCTGGCAAAAGCCAGGCCCAGCACCGGACTGTGGTAGGCCCTTGGAGGGTGAACCAGAGGGTGGGCGCGCTCTCCCTGATTGTCTCTCTCTTTCTCTGCCATTCACATACTAAAGATTTGAGAGACCTGTGAGCTGTGTGGCAGCACTAGGACGCTGTGGGCAGGAGGTGACCTCCCTGTGGAGGGGGTGGCCCCAGAGCGCAGGGCGGAGGCACCTGCCTTCAGTGCCAGGGAGGCTGGAGGTCTCGGCCTGGCGGCCTTCTCAGCCTGGTGAGGGCTAGGACAGGGGCAGCCTGGCTGGTGGTAAAAGACAGAAAGAGAGAAGGGAGGAGGAGCCCCTTCTCTGAGCCCTGGCTCTGACCTGGCGGCTCCAGATGGGCCATGTCTCCCTTTGCCCTCACAGCGACCCAGCCGCCGCCATGGAGGAGTCGCAGTCGGATCTCAGCCTCGAGCCTCCCCTGAGTCAGGAGACGTTTTCAGACCTGTGGAAACTGTGAGTGGCTCTCCGGAAGGGCGGGCTCCCTGCCTGGCGCACGCCCCACCCCCCCGCCCCGCCCCCCACAGAAGCCAGCACTGACTTTCTGCTCTTGTCTTTCAGGCTTCCTGAGAACAACCTGCTGGTAAGGCCTGGGAGTGGGCGGGGATGGGGGGGCGAGGGGCCTGGGATCCCGGCCCTCTTGACTCCTGGCTGGCCCATCCGCAGACCACCTCGCTGAACCCTCCCGTGGATGATCTGCTGTCTGCAGAAGACGTTGCAAACTGGCTCAACGAAGACCCAGAAGAAGGGCTCCGAGTACCAGCAGCTCCTGCACCAGAGGCCCCCGCCCCAGCTGCCCCTGCGCTGGCGGCCCCTGCACCAGCCACCTCCTGGCCCCTGTCATCCTCTGTCCCTTCCCAAAAGACCTACCATGGCAACTACGGTTTCCGGCTGGGCTTCCTGCACTCTGGGACGGCCAAGTCTGTCACCTGCACGGTCAGTGTCCCTGTGGGGCTGGTTCCTGGGTGACCGTCCAGTGCGCGCCCACAATCCATGCCCTACCCCCATCCCCAGCCCCCAGAACTTTGGGGTTCCTCTTCAGCCTTTGGTGTCTTATCAGCCTTACTGCATTTTGCCCCCTTGGTCTGACCTTTGACCTCTGTCCCAAAGCTGAATTTTCCGCTTGACCCTATATGAAAATCCATCCCATCATACTTGATTTCTCTCACGGGGGAGCCACTCCATGTGTTTCTTAGCCTTTGAAAATGAGCTTGCGAGGTGTAGACCCCCCAATGAGGCTGCGGTCTCTGGCTCCCTCCCACACAGCGCTCCATTTCTAGTAGTTGACTTGACCCCCCCATTCACTTGTCTCCTGACCTTGAACTCTGGCCTTCCGTCTCTACAGTACTCCCCCTGCCTCAACAAGCTGTTCTGCCAGCTAGCAAAGACCTGCCCTGTGCAGCTGTGGGTCGACTCGACGCCCCCGCCTGGCAGCCGCGTCCGGGCCATGGCCATCTACAAGAAGTCTCAGCACATGACGGAAGTTGTCAGACGCTGCCCCCACCACGAGCGCTGCTCCGACAGCGATGGTGAGTGGGCAGGGGCTGGGAGACTGGGCAGCCGGCCAGCTGGGTCCCCAGGTCTCTAATTCCTCCCTGATCTCGTAGGTCTGGCCCCACCTCAGCATCTCATCCGGGTGGAGGGAAATCTCCGTGCGGAGTATTTGGATGACAGAAACACCTTCCGACACAGCGTGGTGGTGCCCTACGAGCCGCCCGAGGTCTGGTTTGGCGGCTGGGGCCTCGGTGGGGAGGGGCTGGAGGTGGGTGTCACAGACGTTGGGTGCAAGAGGGCTTTCTCCATCTCCCCACCATCCTTGAGGTGTGTGAACAGGTGGGTCTTCCCCATAGTGGGCGACTCAAGTTCGCAGGGCTGGCCGGCCTCATCTGGGCCCTCTGTTCTGCAGGTTGGCTCTGACTGTACCACCATCCACTATAATTACATGTGTAACAGCTCCTGCATGGGGGGCATGAACCGGCGGCCCATCCTCACCATCATCACACTGGAAGACTCCAGGTAGGGACAGGAGCCGCCTGCTGCCCTCCCCGCCTCTGCCTGGCTGCTGTCCCCTTGGCCCCACTCTCTGTCTCACCCATCATGCGGACTGCCCCCTGCTGTTCTCTGTCGATTTTCCTTCCTCCGGCTCTGAGACCTCTCCCAGGGTACCGGGCACTTGGAGCTCACCCTCTAGATGGACGGGGTGGTTGGGCATCAGAACAGGGCTGATGGGGCCCGCTGCTCTCTCCTTACTCCACGCAGTGGGAACCTGCTGGGACGGAACAGCTTTGAGGTGCGAGTGTGTGCCTGTCCTGGGAGGGACCGCCGCACGGAGGAAGAAAATTTCCGCAAGAAAGGGGAGCCCTGCCCTGAACTGCCCCCTGGGAGCTCTAAGCGAGGTGAGTGGACAGGACAGGAGGAGGCACAGAAGGCCAGGGAGGCGCAGTTCCATCCCATAATCACCGTTTTCTCATCCTCCCCAGCACTGCCGACCACCACCACCGACTCCTCTCCCCAGACAAAGAAGAAGCCGCTGGATGGAGAATATTTCATCCTTAAGGTATCACGTCTAAGACAGGCAGATGCGCAGTCTCTTGCGTAGACCAAGTGGGATTGGGTAAGGGAAGAAAAGATGGACACGGAGGGACTACCCGATTATGGCCAGTTCCTGTGTCCATTCTTTGCTTTGTTGGCGGCCCTGACTCCCGTAACACTGTTGGGTTAAGTTCCTAGTCAGGTGCTCAAAATGCAGTTTCCATTCTGGCTGCTTTGCCTGTAGTTAGGGCCCAGAGACAGGACACACAGGACACAGGACAGGACACACTGTAGCACATTAAAGTTGCCCCTGCACTTCCGATGGGGTCACATCCTGTTAAGCCTACTGAGTCGGTCATTAAGTCAGAGGCATTGAATACACCTGACCGACCAGACACCACCGCCTAGCAGCGCTGGGGCAGAGCAGTTGTTTGTCCTGGGGCCTGCTTGGAGCCACTTTGGAAGGATGGTTCCTGCTGGATGCCTGTGGCCTGTATGCCTTCGTTCAGACGATCCAAGTCAGGGACCATCTGTAATCATTTTAAAGGACCACCTTTCAAAGAGAAAATTGTTCAAGAGAGCAGGAAAATGGATGTGGCTTTGGCCGGTGATCCTCCACCCCCGTTCTCCCCTGCTGCAGATCCGCGGGCGTGAACGCTTCGAGATGTTCCGAGAGCTGAACGAGGCCCTGGAGCTCAAGGATGCCCAGGCCGAGAAGGAGCCCGGGGGGAGCAGGGCTCACTCCAGGTGAGTGCTGGGCCCTCTTCTGCCCCTGCTCCGGTGGCTGATAAAATGGGGGTGGGACAATGAAGAGAGTGACAGCACAATAGTGCTCCACCATCAATAGTGCTCCACCATCGGAACTTAAATTCCCCTTCTCCCAGCCTTAGGTGGAGGGGAGAGACCTCAGGCACTGTCACTCATGTGATATCTCTCCCTCTCATCTCCTGTCTCCCCTACAGCTACCTGAAGGCCAAGAAGGGGCAGTCTACCTCCCGCCATAAAAAACCAATGTTCAAGAGAGAGGGGCCCGACTCAGACTGACGTCCTCGCCCTCTGGCCCCCGTTGACAACCCCCACGCCCTCCTACCCTGGCATTTTGGGACTCAGGTGCTTGAACCCCACTTGGTAGAGGTGTGCCTCAGAACTCCCAGGAATTCTTCCACTTGCTTGGCCTGCACTGGTGGTATTGGGGGGGAGGTGGTGGGAGCTATGACGGGCCAGCCTTAGCTTTTAAAATTTTGACTGTGAGGAATGTTTGGGGAAATTAAAGAAAAAAAAAAAGGCTCTGAGAAGCAGCCCTAGGCCGGGTGGGAAGCCCAGCCCTCCCGCTGTGCTGACCAGGGACACGGCCACGACTTCATGAAATGCTGATCATGCCTACCTCACGGGGTCTGCTGTGAGGATTAATGAAATGCTGTGTGACTGGCCTGGAAAGCACCCTTTATTATAGGGTGGCTGGGACGTGGCCCCCTCATGGGTGCTGGTTCCCTACCCTTCTGCCGGCTGGGTTGATAGCTTCACTGGTTGGGCAGCTGGTCTGCGCTGGTGCAGCCAAATCCTGCCCAGCCTCTTAGTGACAATGGCCCCATCCCACGCCTGGAGGATTCCATCGTGTACCATCTGTGTCTACCAAGACCTGTTTCACTTTCCCCCCAATGCTCAGGGTCAATTTCTTTTGCACCTTGCATTTGTCACCCCCAGTCCACTTCCCTTTTTATATCCCCTTTTTATATCGGTTTCTTATTTTGCAATAAAACTTGACTACCATCCTGTGTCTCAGAGGCAGGTGCCTGTGCGGGCTGCCGGGGCCACAGGTGCAGGGCCAAGTGAGGAGGTGAACTTGGGAGCCGGCCACCTGAGTCTCCAGAGAGTGTGAGCTGGAGGGGGTTGTGGGGGGGCCTGAGGCCCGAGTTCCAGGAGGGAAACAAAGGCTGGAGACTGGGTCAGCCTGCGGGCTGCATGACAACAAGGGAGGGGGTGACCATTCATAACTGGGAACCAACTGTCCCTCCTCCCCTCCCACCAGGGCTGGCACAAGGTTCCCTCCCGCCCCTGCTTCTAGGGTTGGGCTGCTGCCCCCTCGGCAGCCTCTCACCAAGGATTATGGGATTTAAATGTCTGATTTAGCAAGCCTGAGCCTCTGGGGTGGCCATCTGCTCCGCAGGGAAGGGCCAGGGTACCTGGGTTCCCAAGGGGACAGAGGGGTTGGGCGCTACTGAATGAAGTGGGAGACTTGCCAGCCGGGGTCCTAGGAAAGTAGGGGCAGCTAAGGTGAGGGTTGGGGCCTTCCCGGCATCCCCTCATCCTGGGCCTCGTGCCAGGTGGCTGGATGAATTGAAGCTTTAAACCCTGCCAGGAAAACCTTTCAAAGGGCTTCTTGGGGTAGGGAGGAGAGTCGGGGTTGGGGAGCTCGGGTACCCCTGCCCGCTCTGTTCTTCAGTGTGGCCAGCTCCCAGGGAGGGGGCAGGGCGGGCTCTCCCCACCACCCACTGCGGCCTGAGACGCTACTTGGCTGTCCTGCCTCCTCGGGGGTGGAGGGACTCCAAGGCCACCGTCTTGCCAGGCCCATCAGCCAGGCCCAGAACACCCGCACCCCTGAGCCCTCGCCTTGCCACGCAGGGTCCCTGCCTTCGAGACCACGTTTTTCTTTCCTAGCTTGGGAATGCCAGAGCCGACACTTAACTCGGCTCCCACCCTACCCGCTCCTGAAACTCCGTCTCCTCGCTCCTGTGGACAGGTCACCTCGAGAACCCCCCTTTTTCCCCCTCTTTTCCTTCTGGGAGCACAGTTGAGCCCAGGACGCCGGGATTCACAGGTTGGTGATGTGCCGCATGCATGCGCTGTGCAATGCTCCTTGTAATCAGGTTCCAGCCTCACACAGTCACCACCCGGGCTGAGGGCAAGGACTCTGCAAAATCCAGGGGAGCAGAAACTACCGGTTCTGATGCACAGCCAGCGTCCGCGCGCCCTCAGCACTTCAGGCGGTGTCCCTGGCTCTGGCTGCACTGCCGCTCTTCCCTGGGAAGTAGATCCACTCTGCCTCCGCGGATCCCCTCCGGTGCGAGCTGATGGATCTGTGTGCCCTGAGAACCCTGAGGCCTGGGTGTTCAGGCCGGCTCTGCTATGAGCTGTTTGACCCTCAGTGAATCTTTAACCTCTCTGGTTCCACTTATTGGCTTCTGGTTTTTTTTGTTTGTTTGTTTGTTTGTTTTTTCTAAGATTGATTTAATTACTTGAAGGTCAGTAACACAGAGAAGGAGAGAGAGAGTCTTCCATCTACAGGTTCACTCCCCAGTTGGCTTTGGCTGTAATGGCCAGAGCTGATCTGATCTGAAACCAGGAGCCAGGAGCTTCTGGGTCTCCCACGTGGGTGCAGGGGCCCAAGGACTTCGGCCATCTTCCACTGCTTTCCCAGGCCGTAGCAGAGAGCAAGTTGTATTCTGGGGTCCAGGCACTGTGGCTCAGCAGGTTAAGCTGCAGCCTGCAGCACCGGCATTAAGTCCCGGCTGCTCCACTTCTGATTCAGCTGCCTGTTAATGCATCTGGAAGATGGGCCGAGTCCCTGGGCCTCTGCACCCATGTGGGAGATGAAAAGAAGCTCCTGGCTCCTGGCCTGGGCCCGGCCTGGCCCTTGTCACTGTGGCCCGTGGGGAGTGAACCAGTGGATGGAAGATTCCATCTCTCCCTCTAACTCTGCCTTTCAAATAAATAAGTAGCAGAGTGTGGGGCAGTGTTTCCCTGATTCCAGCTTCCTGCCAATTCAGAAACTGGGAAGCAGGTAGTTCAAGTGCTCGTGTCCCTGCCAACCATGTGGGAAACCTGGATTGAGTTTCTGGATCCTGGCTTCAGCCTGGCCCAGTCCTGATTGTTGCAGGCATCCGAGGGCGAACTGATGGCAGATGAGATTTCTCTGCCTGTGCCCTTCTCTATCTGCCTCGCAAATAAAAAGAATTAAAGAGCAAAAAGGGGAAAAATCTGGAATGCATCCCGACATCAGCGATACAAACTGAAATAGCGCAAAAAGGAAAATTTGAGTAAAAAGATAAACTTAAAAACAGGAGTTTTTTTTTTTTAAATTACTGAGATATGTTTTAAAAGAAAAACTGAAAGCCGGCGCCGTGGCTCAATAGGCTAATCCTCCACCTTGCGGCGCCGGCACACCGGGTTCTAGTCCCGGTTGGGGCGCCGGATTCTGTCCCGGTTGCCCCTCTTCCAGGCCAGCTCTCTGCTATGGCCAGGGAGTGCAGTGGAGGATGGCCCAGGTGCTTGGGCCCTGCACCCCATGGGAGACCAGGAAAAGCACCTGGCTCCTGGCTCCTGCCAGGATCAGCGCGGTGCGCCGGCTGCAGCGGCGGCCATTGGAGGGTGAACCAACGGCAAAGGAAGACCTTTCTCTCTCTGTCTCTCTCTCTCACTGTCCACTCTGCCTGTCAAAAAAAAAAAAAAAAAAAAAAAAAACTGGAGCACTGGACTGAGGGAAAAAAGAATGATCAAAAAACAAAGAGTTTGGGGCTGGCACTGTGGGGTGGTGGATAAAGCCACTGCCTGCAATGCTGGCCTCCCATACAGGAGCCAGTTCAAGTTCCAGCTGTGCCACTTTTGATCCAGCTCCCTGATAATGTGCCTGGGAAAGCAGTGAGAAGCAGAGGATGCTCCCAGTGCTTCAGTCCCTGAACCCACATGGGAGACCCAGATGGAGTTCCTGGCTCCTGGCTTCCAATTGGCGCAGCTCCGGCCATTGTGACCAACAGGGGAGTGAACCAGCAGATGGAGGACCTCTCTGCCTTCCAAGTAAATAAGTCTTAAAGGAAAAAAGAAAAAAAAAGATTAAATATTTATGGGTCATAAGAAAAAAAGAATGAAATCCCAAATTAATTTATAATTATGCTGGCTTTGCTAATATTAACAAAGCCTGATGAATATATTAAAAAACAAATTAATAAATATAGATGCAAAATCTCTAAATAGAATACACTGGATTAAAAATATTATACCTCCAGGGCTGGCACTGTGGCTTAGCAGGTAAAACTGCTGCCTGCAGTGCCAGCTTCCCATATGGTCTCCAGTTTGAGTCCCAGCTGCTCCACTTCTGATCCAGCTCTCTGGGGTGGCCTGGGACAGCAGTGGAAGATGGCCCAAGTGCTTGGACCCCTGACCTGCATGGGAGACCTGGAAGAAGCTCCTGACTCCTGGCTTCAGATTGGTGCAGCTTTGGCTGTTGCTGCCACCTGAGGAGTAAGCCAGCAGATGGAAGACTCTGTCTCTGCCTCTCTGTAACTCTGCCTTTCAAATAAATAAATAATTGAAAAAAAAAATTATACCTCCTCTCCAAAACTACAGGGGTACAGTTGGATAGAAGGGAAAACTTATGTCCTATAGCACAGGATAACTATCATTGATAACAAATAATAATGTGCATTTCAAAATAGCTAGTAAAGAGGATTTTGAATGTTTCCAACACATAGAAATAAAAATTTGAGGGATGATCATTACATACTGTATACACGTATTAGAATCTTGCACTGTACCCAATACATGTGCAAAACTGCTGCAAGTCAATTAATAGGAGCAGAAGCGGCACAGCAGACGAAGCCCCTGCTTGGACACCCACGCACCACACAGAGTGCCAGTCCCAGTTCTGGCTGCCCTGCCTCTGCTCCAGCTTCCTGCTAAGGTACCTGGAAAGAAGCAGATACGGGCTCAAATGCCACACACATCTGAAGACCTGAATGGGGTTCCTGGCTCCAGCCCAGCCCAGCCCTAACTTGTGGGAGTGAACCAGAATAAGATCTCTCTCTCGCTCTCTTTGTGTCACTTTGCTTTTTACTTTTTAGTTGAAAATGAACATTTTTAGAAATACTTACGCAAGGCCTGCACTATGGTGTAGTGTAAGCCACCTGCCTGCAAACACCAGCATCCCATATGGGCACTGGTTTGAGTCCCAGCTGTTCCTCTTCCAACCCAGCTCTCTGCTAATGCACCTGGGAAAGCAGCAGCAGATGACGCAAGTGCTTGGGTCCCTGCCACCCATGAAGGAGACCAGGATAAAGCTCCTGGCTCCTGCCTGGCCCAGTCCTGGTCATTGGGGCCATTTGGGGAATGAACCAGCAGATGAAAAAGATCTCTTTTTTTGTAACTCTACCTAACAAATAAATCTTTTTAAAAAATTATCCAATGGGGGGCCAGCGCTGTGGCACAGCGGGTTAACGCCCTGGCCTGAAGCGCCGGCATCCCATATGGTCGCCAGTTCGAGACCCGGCTGCTCCACTTCTGATCCAGCTTTCTGCTATGGCCTGGGAAAGCAGTGGAAGATGGCCCAAGTCCTTGGGCCCCTGCACCCATGTGGGAGACCCAGAAGAAGCTCCTGGCTCCTGGTTTTGGATTGGCGCAGCTCCGGCCGTTGCGGCCAATTGGGGAGTGAACCATCAGATGGAAGACCTCTCTCTCTCTCTGCCTCTCTGTGTAACTTTGACTTTCAAATAAATAAATAAATTTTTAAAAATATTACCCAATGGGCTGGCCTTGTGGCACAATATGTTACCCTGCCATTTGTAATGTTGGCATTCCATATGGGCGCCAGTTCGAGTCCTAGCTGTTGCATTCCATTCCAGCTCCCTGCTAATGTGCCTGGGAAAGTAGCAGAAGATGGCCCCTGCCACTCATGTGGGGGACCCAGATAGAGTCCCTGGCTCCTGGCTTCAGCCTGGCCAAGCCCTGGCTGTTGAGGCTAACTGGGAAGTGAATCAGTGGATAGAAGCACACTCTCT